AACATCACCAGAAATTTCTACTACTGCTGTTACTGCAGAAACACCAATCACAGAAACGCCACCTCCAACACGAACAGAAACGCCATCAACAGCAACAACAATTGCTGGTCCAACGACACCTACATCAGCAGGAGTTTCTACTACTGCTGTTACTGCTCCTACTCCATCTACAGAAACACCACCTCCCACAGGAACTGAAACACCATCCACAGCTACTACAACTGCTGGTACAGCAACACCAACATCACCAGAAATTTCTACTACTGCTGTTACGGCAGAAACACCAATCACAGAAACACCACCTCCGACACGAACAGAAACACCATCAATGGCAACAACAACAACTGCTGGTCCACCAACACCTACATCACCAGGAATTTCTACTTCTGCTGTTACTGCTATTACTACATCTACAGAAACACCACCTCCCACAGGAACCGAAACACCATTAACAGCTACTACAACTGCTGGTACAGCAACACCAACATCACCAGAAATTTCTACTACTGCTGTTACTGCTCCTACTCCATCTACAGAAACACCACCTCCCACAGGAACCGAAACACCATTAACAGCTACTACAACTGCTGGTACAGCAACACCAACATCACCAGAAATTTCTACTACTGCTGTTACTGCTCCAACACCATCTACAGAAACACAACCTCCCACAGGAACAGAAACCCCATCCACAGCTACTACAACTGCTGGTACAGCAACACTAACATCACCAGAAATTTCTACTACTGCTGTTACTGCTGAAACACCACAGACCGAAACGTCACCTCCGACACAAACAGAAACGCCATCAACAGCAACAACAACTGTTGGTCCACCGACACCTTCATCACCAGGAGTTTCTACTACTGCTGTTACTGCTCCTACTACATCTACAGAAACACCACCTCCCACAGGAACCAAAACACCATTAACAGCTACTACAACTGCTGGTACACCAATTCCAACATTACCACAAATTTCTACTACTGCTGTTACTGCTGAAACACCAATCACAGAAACACCACCTACCACAGGAACCGCAACACCCTCCACAGTAACAACAAATGCTTGTCCAACGACACCTACATCACCAGGAGTTTCTACTACTGCTGTTACTGCTACAACACCATCTACAGAAACACAACCTCCCACAGGAACAGAAACACCATCCACAGCTACTACAGCTGCTGGTACAGCAACACCAACATCACCACCAGAAATTTCTACTACTGCTGTTACTGCAGAAACACCAATCACAGAAACACCGTTACTGCTCCAACACCATATACAGAAACAAAACCTCCCACAGGAACTGAAACACCATCCACAGCTACTACAACTGCTGGTACAGCAACACCACCAGAAATCTCTACCACTGCTGTTACTGCTCCTACTCCAGCTACAGAAACACCACCTACCACAGGAACCGAAACACCCTCCACAGTAACAACAACTGCTGGTCCAACGACACCTACATCACCAGGAGTTTCTACTACTGCTGTTACTGCTCCTACTCCATCTACAGAAACACCACCTCCCACAGGAACTGAAACACAATCCACAGCTACTACAACTGCTGGTACGCCAACATCACCAGAAATTTCTACTACTGCTGTTACTGCAGAAACACCAATCACAGAAACACCACCTCCGACACGAACAGAAACACCATCAACGGCATCAACAACTACTGGTCCAACGACACCTACATCACCAGAAATTTCTACTACTGCTGTTCCTGCAAAAACGCCAATCACAGAAACACCACCTCCGACACGAACAGAAACTCCATCAACGGCATCAACAACTACTGGTCCAGCGACACCTACATCACCAGGAGTTTCTACTACTGCTGTTCCTGCAAAAACGCCAATCACAGAAACACCACCTCCGACACGAACAGAAACTCCATCAACGGCATCAACAACTACTGGTCCAGCGACACCTACATCACCAGGAGTTTCTACTACTGCTGTTCCTGCAAAAACGCCAATCACAGAAACACCACCTCCGACACGAACAGAAACTCCATCAACGGCATCAACAACTACTGGTCCAGCGACACCTACATCACCAGGAGTTTCTACTACTGCTGTTCCTGCAAAAACGCCAATCACAGAAACACCACCTCCGACACGAACAGAAACTCCATCAACGGCATCAACAACTACTGGTCCAGCGACACCTACATCACCAGGAGTTTCTACTACTGCTGTTCCTGCAAAAACGCCAATCACAGAAACACCACCTCCGACACGAACAGAAACTCCATCAACGGCATCAACAACTACTGGTCCAGCGACACCTACATCACCAGGAGTTTCTACTACTGCTGTTCCTGCAAAAACGCCAATCACAGAAACACCACCTCCGACACGAACAGAAACTCCATCAACGGCATCAACAACTACTGGTCCAGCGACACCTACATCACCAGGAGTTTCTACTACTGCTGTTCCTGCAAAAACGCCAATCACAGAAACACCACCTCCGACACGAACAGAAACTCCATCAACGGCATCAACAACTACTGGTCCAGCGACACCTACATCACCAGGAGTTTCTACTACTGCTGTTCCTGCAAAAACGCCAATCACAGAAACACCACCTCCGACACGAACAGAAACTCCATCAACGGCATCAACAACTACTGGTCCAGCGACACCTACATCACCAGGAGTTTCTACTACTGCTGTTCCTGCAAAAACGCCAATCACAGAAACACCACCTCCGACACGAACAGAAACTCCATCAACGGCATCAACAACTACTGGTCCAGCGACACCTACATCACCAGGAGTTTCTACTACTGCTGTTCCTGCAAAAACGCCAATCACAGAAACACCACCTCCGACACGAACAGAAACTCCATCAACGGCATCAACAACTACTGGTCCAGCGACACCTACATCACCAGGAGTTTCTACTACTGCTGTTCCTGCAAAAACGCCAATCACAGAAACACCACCTCCGACACGAACAGAAACTCCATCAACGGCATCAACAACTACTGGTCCAGCGACACCTACATCACCAGGAGTTTCTACTACTGCTGTTCCTGCAAAAACGCCAATCACAGAAACACCACCTCCGACACGAACAGAAACTCCATCAACGGCATCAACAACTACTGGTCCAGCGACACCTACATCACCAGGAGTTTCTACTACTGCTGTTCCTGCAAAAACGCCAATCACAGAAACACCACCTCCGACACGAACAGAAACTCCATCAACGGCATCAACAACTACTGGTCCAGCGACACCTACATCACCAGGAGTTTCTACTACTGCTGTTCCTGCAAAAACGCCAATCACAGAAACACCACCTCCGACACGAACAGAAACTCCATCAACGGCATCAACAACTACTGGTCCAGCGACACCTACATCACCAGGAGTTTCTACTACTGCTGTTCCTGCAAAAACGCCAATCACAGAAACACCACCTCCGACACGAACAGAAACTCCATCAACGGCATCAACAACTACTGGTCCAGCGACACCTACATCACCAGGAGTTTCTACTACTGCTGTTCCTGCAAAAACGCCAATCACAGAAACACCACCTCCGACACGAACAGAAACTCCATCAACGGCATCAACAACTACTGGTCCAGCGACACCTACATCACCAGGAGTTTCTACTACTGCTGTTCCTGCAAAAACGCCAATCACAGAAACACCACCTCCGACACGAACAGAAACTCCATCAACGGCATCAACAACTACTGGTCCAGCGACACCTACATCACCAGGAGTTTCTACTACTGCTGTTCCTGCAAAAACGCCAATCACAGAAACACCACCTCCGACACGAACAGAAACTCCATCAACGGCATCAACAACTACTGGTCCAGCGACACCTACATCACCAGGAGTTTCTACTACTGCTGTTCCTGCAAAAACGCCAATCACAGAAACACCACCTCCGACACGAACAGAAACTCCATCAACGGCATCAACAACTACTGGTCCAGCGACACCTACATCACCAGGAGTTTCTACTACTGCTGTTCCTGCAAAAACGCCAATCACAGAAACACCACCTCCGACACGAACAGAAACTCCATCAACGGCATCAACAACTACTGGTCCAGCGACACCTACATCACCAGGAGTTTCTACTACTGCTGTTCCTGCAAAAACGCCAATCACAGAAACACCACCTCCGACACGAACAGAAACTCCATCAACGGCATCAACAACTACTGGTCCAGCGACACCTACATCACCAGGAGTTTCTACTACTGCTGTTCCTGCAAAAACGCCAATCACAGAAACACCACCTCCGACACGAACAGAAACTCCATCAACGGCATCAACAACTACTGGTCCAGCGACACCTACATCACCAGGAGTTTCTACTACTGCTGTTCCTGCAAAAACGCCAATCACAGAAACACCACCTCCGACACGAACAGAAACTCCATCAACGGCATCAACAACTACTGGTCCAGCGACACCTACATCACCAGGAGTTTCTACTACTGCTGTTCCTGCAAAAACGCCAATCACAGAAACACCACCTCCGACACGAACAGAAACTCCATCAACGGCATCAACAACTACTGGTCCAGCGACACCTACATCACCAGGAGTTTCTACTACTGCTGTTCCTGCAAAAACGCCAATCACAGAAACACCACCTCCGACACGAACAGAAACTCCATCAACGGCATCAACAACTACTGGTCCAGCGACACCTACATCACCAGGAGTTTCTACTACTGCTGTTCCTGCAAAAACGCCAATCACAGAAACACCACCTCCGACACGAACAGAAACTCCATCAACGGCATCAACAACTACTGGTCCAGCGACACCTACATCACCAGGAGTTTCTACTACTGCTGTTCCTGCAAAAACGCCAATCACAGAAACACCACCTCCGACACGAACAGAAACTCCATCAACGGCATCAACAACTACTGGTCCAGCGACACCTACATCACCAGGAGTTTCTACTACTGCTGTTCCTGCAAAAACGCCAATCACAGAAACACCACCTCCGACACGAACAGAAACTCCATCAACGGCATCAACAACTACTGGTCCAGCGACACCTACATCACCAGGAGTTTCTACTACTGCTGTTCCTGCAAAAACGCCAATCACAGAAACACCACCTCCGACACGAACAGAAACTCCATCAACGGCATCAACAACTACTGGTCCAGCGACACCTACATCACCAGGAGTTTCTACTACTGCTGTTCCTGCAAAAACGCCAATCACAGAAACACCACCTCCGACACGAACAGAAACTCCATCAACGGCATCAACAACTACTGGTCCAGCGACACCTACATCACCAGGAGTTTCTACTACTGCTGTTCCTGCAAAAACGCCAATCACAGAAACACCACCTCCCACAGGAACTGAAACAGCATCCACAGCTACTACAACTGCTGGTACACCAACACCAACATCACCAGAAATTTCTACCACTGCTGTTACTGCAGAAACACCAATCACAGAAACGCCATCTCCAACACGAACAGAAACGCCATCAACAGCAACAACAATTGCTGGTCCAACGACACCTACATCAGCAGGAGTTTCTACTACTGCTGTTACTGCTCCTACTCCATCTACAGAAACACCACCTCCCACAGGAACTGAAACACCACCCATATCTA